GTTGCGCTAAAAAGGGGACCCAAGCATAAGGGACGTGCTGCAATGAAGTTATATCAAGTTGGTGCACCAATGAAAAGAGTAGATGTTGACATTGCTGGTCCATTGCCCCGAACTCGTGCTGGAAACAAGTTCGTTTGTGTGGTGATGGATTATTTCACCAATACCAAATCAGGAAGCTACAACTGTAGATTCAGCTATTAGTGATTTCTTCTTCAGGCTTGGTATGCCATACGAACTGCATTCAGATCAAGGCCGTAACTTTGAACCAGCTGTATTCTATGAATGCTGCAGGTTTGGCAATTCAAAATAAAACATGTTACATTATAAGATTTAACAGAATGTATGCCAAAGTCTGCTAAAAATGTAACGAGTGTCTGTATGATACTTTCTATGTTGGTTTTTAAGTATTTTTACATCTCATTACCCAAAGGTTTTTTTAAATTAAACCCCAATTTTTTATTGAAAGTTGTAATATAAACATTTGTATAGATGAACACAAAGTTGTTAGCTTCTTTATTAGTGAGAATGATGACATATACTACATAAATATTCTAAATACTCAGAAACTTCATTCTTGTTCAAAGCATGTTCATTATTGTTACTAATTATTTTAATAAGTATGTTATGTGTTATGTTTTGTTACTAATTATTTTAATAAGTATGTTATGTGTTATGTTTTGTTACTGGTCTTAGGAGACCCAAACTTTTATTATCTCAGTGTGATACACTGTTTAAAAGGGTTAATAACAATACCAACTGACAATATACTACCAATTTCAGTAAGTATGTATAACTGTTTTCTACTTTCCTTAAAAAAATGAGAAAAATTCTTGGTGTTTAAAGCTGTACTCTATTCCTTTATAAGCTATATATACATGAAAAAGTCATCAGGGACAAGTAGACTATCATTATATGCATGCACTATATTTTCTGTAAGAATTAAATCACTTACTATACTTTGTACAAAAAGATGTAACAAATCTTTTTTCTAAATTGTGTCAGTGCATTTCCATCATAAAAACAGAAAATAAATATTTTACAATGGGGTATAATGATACAGCTGGAAACTCAGAACAAGGTATAGGAAATTTTAAGAGGCAAAACTTATAATGTTACAAATTATTATTCAGCTTGATGATCTTTACCATGAAATTAATATTTTCATAAGGCTTAAAGTCTAAGTGCATAGTACAAAAATTAGGTTTTTACTGTGAAATAAAATGATTTCTCCAGCAGATAAGATATCCCACTTAAAAAGTGATACAAGCTAGCTTTATCTATGCCTTAGATTTAGAGTGTTGACTTAATAATTTGTCTAATTTTCAACATATTAGCCTAGGTAAAATCAGAGTAAAATGACTGTTTGACATTTAAAAGTACATTACTGTAAAAAGTCAAACTTCTAGCAAACAAAACATCAAATGTTGTTAGGTTAAAATGATTTATTTAGGTACTAAAGTGCAATGAAAATTTTCTGGCAACTATACTGCAGAATACCACACAATAATTAAAACACAATACATTGTTGATAATTTGTCATTTATTAAATTAAATGTCTTCAAGAGACAGGGTCAGGAAGACATTAATACATATACATACATTAAATCTGTGGCTTGCACATTATTCTTACGAGAAATGAAAAGTAAATATTAAAATTTAACAAGGTCTACATACATAATACATGTACAACACTGACTAATCCCTACTAGTAGAAGTTGAACCTGTTTTCTCTTGCTGGTTTTTCTTGTCCATCTTTTGAGAATAGAAGTTGTTGAAATCCAATCTACAAAAAAAAAGAAAAGGAAAATAGTTTATAGTCCCATTATTAATATAATTATGGATAAACAGCAGTGCAATAATGTAAAGAAATAAAAACTACTCTGTAGAAAACATAAATTTTATTTACCCTGAATTTTGCTCCACAACTGCCTTTGGGAATATGGACTATACACACAAAGTTGTAAATAAGCTTGTGTATAATCTGGACTAAAATGAAGCTGTTTGGTAATAAAACTATGGGTGTTAATGTTAAATGAAAATGGTGGTTTTCACAAGCATAAGAATACACAATACAGATGATCTATTTCGGTTCAAAAGGGGAAGTTTAATTAGTCAAAAGGAAAAAGTTTTATTATTAGATTTAAAGAAATAATAAAACTGGATATAATTTAGAATCAAAACTAAGTAATGAAAATTATTTTAGTTGGAAATACTTCATAGAAAAATAACTCATCATACCCGTAAGTGATCACTTATAAACAACATAGGCATTTTTCAAGGATTGTCATCATTGCCAAACTAGCAGTAGGTCAGCATGGTGGTGTAAAGTGAAGTGTCTAATAGACAACACTTACAAAATCAAGCAAGAAATTATTAAATATCAATACTCTTTGTTCTCCTAAAGAAGAACAGTCAACTATTCGAAACTGCTCGAGTTTTGGGTCTTATTTTTAAGTCTATTACACTTTATGTGATCCTTTATGCTAACTCTTTTATCAAACACCATCAATATCATGATACTCAACAACATATGGTGTGAAGTGTCTTAACACACTAAACTTCCAAAATGAAATAAGAAGAAACATCAATATCATCAGACTCACAAAATATGTAAGGCTAAAAAACAGATAAATCAAAATTCAAGAAATGTGATAAACCACGTGGTGAAATGGAAATGCGTAACATGTATAAAGCAGTGATGTAGTGATTATCTATGATACTACCAATCTTGATGTCATGGAATCAGTTAGATTAGTTCTGAAAAGGAATACTGAAGGTGCACCAGTGACTACTGGTGTAAAGATAGAAGAATAAGACCAAAAAAAAAAGAGATGTGTAAAACAAACAGCCTGTAGAAAAAGAAGAAAAATGTAGTGAAATTATTCAAAAAAGAGGAAATATTGACAGTAATGTGGGAAAAAAGTGATATCAAAGCATATTAGATACTAAAAAAATGTCTGACTAGAATTAAAAAACCCATAACTACATACAAAAATCAAAACAAAAGATATGTACTAAATAAATGAATAAAACACATTTCAAGTATAAATAAGAAAAATGACTTGGTGAAATTTTTAAATGAGTTGAGACAAAAAAAACATTAAATTTTTAGTTACACACCATGAAATATACAGTACTATGAAGATCACTGATTCCTAAATTAAAGTTAAAATCACTGAAAAAATATTACTAATCCATTAAACTTCTTTCATCTCTACACATAATTTAGATTTATACAAAGTTTAAACACCTAATAGAACCATGTCAATGACAGAATATCAATTTGAGTGAAATGTTTAGGAACAGGAAAGTTTTTATTAGTATTGATCAAAAAATTATGATTAATAAAACACTTGTACATAATAAATGGTATTGAATATTATGAAAGTCATTTCATTAACCATTTCATGGAGTTTTGATTGAATTTTTTGAAAAAACAGTAATGTTTATAATCTTGTAAGTCTGACAACAAATCTTAACAATCAAAAGAATTATAACCATTCTGTTGTGGGGTGTAATTTATTTTAGTATGAACCAAGACATTTTATTCTTTTTTTTTTCAGGCAAGTACAAATAGTAATTTCAGAGAAAACATAAAATGTTAATTGAATTGCAGCAGAGGGTATTTACTTTTCTTTTTTCAGAATGCATATTATACTTTTACTTTTTAAATGATACATATAAACAACAAAAGGGATTCTGTTTGATCTTTTACTAGAGGACTGTTTAAGGTAATGTTTCCCAAAATCCCCCCTCCTCAAAGATATACCACCAACTGCAGTGCTTGTAGAAGAAAGAATATTAAAAAACTACTCATATAAACACCTGATGATCAAAAAGTGGTAAATAAAATGCCTTGTCTTTATATTTTCATGTGGATTTCACATTAAAATTTCCATTTAAATATATTTTATTGTAACTTTTTTTAAACGACTTTAGAAATATGGAATATTTTGTGACATACAACCAGCTCACTTTCAACACTCCAGTGTGCCATTACATACTCTTAGGGAAATACTGGTTTAAAAGCATTTCTTTTCCTCTTTCTATCAATTTCAGAGCTTTTATAATTTCTTTGTGTCCTTTTTTTTAATCTTTGAATGTGAATTGTAAAATCAATATAAATGAGGGTGACAGCTTTTTAGTTGAGATAATACTATGGTCTGTCATTAATTTTTTTGTATAAGGTAGACTATAAAACGTTTTTGTTTTTTTAATGAGACAATGATCCCAAGAAAGTTAATCTTGCGTATGAATAATCAAGGATGAATTTTATAGTTTTATAAAAGAAAAAGTAATAAAATTTCCAAATGTGTATGTGTGTGGTTTCAGAAACAGATGAATTTGAACTATACGGTTGTTGTGATTATTACCATATTCATCCCTTCAACTCTCTCAACACAGGCTCAGTCAATTTGTACCCTTGGTACTCGTTCAAAGACTTTATAAATTTGATACTACTAACTTTTCATATAGTGTGTATATCTTCATGAAATTTGGCAGTCTTTCAGTAAACATTACAAGTCTTTCACATAAAAAATATATTTTTTAATGAAGTATTTTTAATAAAGTAAAGAAAGATTTGTCCATGAATATATTGAGTATTTGTTTTGAACAGTCCATGTGCAAATGATTTTCATGTTAAGATTAAAAATACGTTTCTTCATCTCAAAAATCTCAAATTTCATTTATGTAATCTCTAAAACCTCCTACATACATACATTTCAAGTGTTTGTTTTCAATAAAACTATATACCTTATCTGTTATTTTCTCTACCCTAACTCTATACAAGGCTGGTTAATTTGACCGATCTTGTAACCACCAAAAAAAAATTTAAATAAATCTAAATTACAGTCTTTTTTTTTTTTAAATGATTTCAAATGTAACATCAAACTACATTCATATATCCTAAGTAGCTTTACACTCATAGCAGTATACATCTATTTATAATTAAATTCTATTGTTTTATTGCCCTTTGAACTGTGTCTAACTACTATTTGTGCCATAAGTTGTAATTCACTTCGAGAACAGGCAGCTCACGTTACACTATTGAATTACATTACCCAGAAGCTACTCCAAGCTGCTTGCATGCATGTTTCATAAAATATTTTTATTGTATTATAATTATTATTCATTTTACCTAATCTAACCTTAACTAACCTAAAAGGATCCCTATTTTTACATTTTAGTAACTTTTATAATAATAGATAAAGAATAAACATCAACTGTCAATGACACTTGACCTTACTTTTTTATGCTAATGGTAGTAATGCACAAAACCATTTTTATTAATTAAATAATGCACCAAAGAACATAGAACAACAACATGCAAAAAGCCGACAATTTCCTCTAGCTATCACAATTTTTCTTGCTTTCTAACTATGAAACAAGAGCCATTACAAATTCATCCAAGCTAGATGTTATCTTTTCCATGGGAATGAAGCTTGTATTAAGAGAAATTGACAATTCTCTGTTCAGATCACAACACAATATAATACGTCATTTGATAGATGAAAACCTTGGATTTGTATTGGTTATATATAATATATAATTAAATGTGAGAGAACTATTAACAAATCTTGAAAGAGAATATGTGACAGGTAGGTGTGGCAAGAGGGGTCTGATTTTTATATTTGATGACTTTGTAAACAAACAAAATTGAAAACTGTAAAACTTATGGATTGTCTGAGCAATGACGATTTTATAGTGGGTAATTTATCATAAATTTAGTACTTATTGGAGGGGTAATGGATAAAATAGAGAAGATGGGCTGCCTACAGAAAAAATTTGTCTCCTTTTTCACACTAGGGAAAATTCAGGATTTTTTAAATATTGCCTTATAAAATTAAAAACTTAAAACTTATATACTATTAAAATATGGATTATTAGCTAAGAGTTTATACTATACTAATTGGTATAACATAAACAAAAAATAGGTTAATAAAATTTTGAATATAAGCCACAAAAACCTCGTGACATGTGCAGTAAATGATGCCTGGCAGATAATGTTAAGAGCCTCCACTGTTTCTGCCAAAAGATACATATGTGGCATGATACCTATCCTTTAGTATTAAAAAAATAAATGTATTTTTAAATTTAGCATTATTTGCTATTACTTATGATAAGGTTAAGTTTCTAATAAGTGCAAAAGACAACAGCAGTAGAGTTAACCACTGTCAGGGCATGATTATAATTTATATTTTTTAACAATCAGGTATTTTATGATGTTTAAACAAACATTTCACTTAAGAAACATTTTACAATTTTTATCTAATAAATCAGAAACTGGCATCATGTTAGTTTTGCTTCAAATCACATACTTGTTGCTTCATTATGAACCAGTATCTCAATAAGAGGCACCAACCTCTTGAAAATTTACTTCTTGAAGCATAATAAATTAATTTTATACGTAAGTACATTAGAAAGGAACATATCAAGACAATGAGAAATAAATCAAGAAATAAGTCATGATAGTGTATTAAATACAGATTTATTTCGCAAAAAAAACATATTTCAACACCACAGCTTTGTCAATATTACTTGGTATAAAACAAGTGATGTTAAAAATGTTCCTGACAATTTTTAGTCAGTAATGCTGACACACACTTGTCATAATGTATATCTGGGATACTATTTCAAAATTACTGCTCCAAGTATTCAGTAATTAAAATACTGCAATTATGATTTTTATTATTATTTCTGATTCATTCAAACTTGTTCAGGTTAACCAATTATTGTCACTGCTCTTGAAATACTCAACTAACTGAAATTAGGGTTTCCAATTACCCAAAGCTACACAATGGGCGAGGCTTTCCTCTGCCAATCACAAGTATCAAAACCCAATTATTAAGAGTCCCAAGATGTTGTATTTTGCTTGGTTTTTAGCCAACTCATGTGAGAATAATTGAGTAGTTAAATGTAATTAATTAATATACTCACCAATTAATCAATTAGAAAATTTCACTAATTGCTCAGCACTAAGTACTCAACAAAACTAATTTACGTAAGATATGAAATAGTCAAGGGAAATGTTTTAAAAGGGGGAGCAAAATTAATGTGCATGTAAAAAACATGGAAATATTTAAGTTCAAGCTGTTAATACATGGTACAGTTACAAAGATGACTACATGCCCAAAGAGATACACAACTGTAAAATGTGATGTTAGTTTAAATTATGATTTTATTTACAGATAAATAATGTCAAAATCTTCTTTTTTGAGAAGTTTTGAGTTTAGAAACACTTTCATTCATAAAACATAGTTCTGAAGTAAAGTTGTCCCTCATTTCTTTAAAGCAAACCATGAAAACAGATAAGAAATTACATTCCTGAAGTTGAAATTAATGAACAATACATTCTTGATCAAAAGCATTGTAAATTTGCAAATAATTTACAAACAATAGTTTCATCTGAGTTTACTTACTGATTATAAGTACTTTTTTCAATCTACAGCTTTTACAGTAACTGTTGCACCTGTTCAAAAAATATTCTTCCTTACTCTAAAAGATGTAATTTGTAAAAAAAACAAAAAAAACACAATTTACAAGCCCAAAAAACTATTTCTGTATATCAGAATATTGATAACAAAACCTACTTATGGTTAATACAATAGCCAGAAAGTCTTACAACTATACTTAACATAAATAGCATGAAGAGAAATATATTAATTTAACCTAAATAACACAAAACTACCATCCTACTGTTGGCCTGCACTGCTTGTCAACTAATGTTCTACGACAATCCTCACTCAGTATGTACACTAATGTTATATTTATTATACTTCTACTAAATGTTCTTCACAGTTCTATTACTAACCTAAATAGCTTGCTAATTAATGTTATACTAATACTCTACTCAATATCTGCAGCACAGTTTAATTATAACCTGATAATTAACATCCAAATTACTATCCTGCACAATGTTATTGGCCATTGGGCAACTATCTAACTCAGTAGCATATTGTTTCCAACCTACGTAGCTTGTTGATTAATCCTGCACTATTACTGCATTAACAACATATTAGCCATTGTTCTATCATCCAAAACTTGTTGCCGATGTTTCTCTTACTGATATGCACATCTTGTCAACCACTTTTCAATTCTGAATATATACAGCATTTCAGATTAGTGCCTTTCTTAAAATAAAATTATTAATTAATAACTTAACCTGCAGAAAGACAGTATGCTGATATGTTGTATATCAACTTTATAGAAATATAAGTATTTTCATTTTAATTATATTCGTTGGTAATTTTTTGAACAATTTAATCCAAATCATTTGATTATTATTTTCACAATGCATATTTATTTGTAATCTTTCCATTTATGGGCATACACAGCTTACTAGCTTATCCTGTACAACTGACCTACATAACATCTGGCCATTGTACCACTAAAACAACACATGGAGATGCTGGTTAATCTTTACTACTGACCTTTACACATTTGACAGTTCACGAAATCTTTTATACAATCTTTGTAACTCTGAACTCACTATCTTACAATAAATTTACAAATGTTTTATGCATTGCACATAGAGAACTACATGTAAACTAAAAAGTTGTCAATTTCTTTTTCAACTGACCTATACAACATATTGACCATTTTCTCACTATAGTTCTCTCGTTCCTGGTCACTGATCATTTCCAGAAGCTGAAACAACATGTCATTAAACTCATAGTGGAAAGAGGAAATTCGCTGTTGGAAGCTATCTTGACCCATTACCAACTGAGTGGAAGATTCCTATGTTTTGGAAAAAAAAAAAGTGAAGCTATTTAAAAATGTATACAAATTTTCACTTATAACCTACTTTATTTCCTATTCTGAAACACAGATCATGATATTTCTTAACACAAATATAGAACCATGAAGAACTCAGAAGATGCACATGATATAAATGATCATTACTGGGTAATGTTTGTCATTTTATGCTCTTAAAGAATAAAAATATATATAGTATGAGATTCTTGTAGTTATAACATGATATTTTTCACACAGTTAAGAGCACAGACAGTAGTGAAGCTTTTGTTCTTAAGAAGGAAATTTAGTCAAATTAACTTTCTAGGTTTACCATTGTTCTTTTTTGAAGCAAGTTTTATCATTGTTCATGAAAATACAAATAAGTAGAATGCGAAACATCATGTGTGACTTTTTAAATAGTACCTTCTTAAACAATTGATGCCCAATTTTAATGGACAGACAAAAATAAACAAACATTTGTTATTAAAAACCAGTTTAAATATACATAAAAAAACAAAAAGTAAAACCAAAACATACTGAGCAATTTAAAAAGGTATACAGGTATAAACTCATAGCTGAACTTTACTTTGAACAGAAACATAACCTGAATCAATACTGGATATCCAGTTTCAAAATGGAAAGTCCTGTAAATCTAGTTCCTCCTAAAATACTATAGGATATGTAAGATTGAATTCTGTATTTAGTTCTTAGGCACACAACACACAAAATAAGCAAACCAACCTTACAGAAACACACAAGTCCAACTGTAATAAACAACTGAATTGAAATAAAATAAAAGTTCAACTTTAATGTCAAATCTAGGTTTGAGAGTTATACGAGGTAACCACACACGATTCTCACAACATTAAAACATCCTGGCAGTCACATACATAAATCAAATAATCATAAAACAGAATTTTGATGAAGTCTACTTGTCACACACAAAACAAACTGGAACTGACATATAAATTAATTTAAGAAATCTAACCAAAGTTGACTACAAAATTCAATAACATGACCTTAATCACCGAGATATTGGGATCAATTCAAGTTTCATGCTTAATAAAGCCACTCTGTTGAAAAAAAAAACTCCCTGTCTTTGTACATAACCAGTCTGCTACACTTTAATTTAAGGCATAACTAAAATTCAAAGTTCCTAACTTCACCAATATTAGCAACAACAAAACATATAAATTAAATTAACCTCCATGTGACCTTTACTATTAAGATAAAAAAATGTTTTAAACTTGAAATCCAGAAGTAATCTAGACTCATTGTGAAAAATTAAAACTTATGCACACACATTCAAACACTTAATCCTTATTAGTAACTTCATGAAACATTAAACTGTCAAAGCAGAGTTCTAACTTAATACCTTACGTCAATTGTGATAGATATTCAAAGCAAAATTCTAACAATAACATATGAGGATCAACCATGACAGAAATGGAAGTTTTGACAGACATCCTATGGCAAAATTATACTTACATTTCAGCTTCTATAAACACAAGAAACCAACACAAAACATAAGATCAGTATTTACAGATACACTTAAAACTAGAAGACAAGGACTGAGAAAGTTAACATTGAACTTATTTACATGCAGAAATTGCACAAATACCTGAATTCCAGTTTCTTCTGCAACTGAATAGAGCATGCTGTCTCCTAAAATAGAAAGTTCTGCTTCCACAGCATGTTTGTGACTCCTCTGAAAAATTAATGGTTAAAAAGTTTGTATCCAAGGTTACTGTTCAGACAAATAATAATTATCCAAAATTAGTAATACTACATTAAATGTGTTAAGTAAAAAATCATAATAGTGCAAATGGTGAAATAAAGGTGGGGAATGTATCATTATATATTTCTTCCACCTTTTTTTCTTGACAATTTTATATGCTGCTCTGAAGCATTCTTCGGATGATTGCTTGAACCACCACTTAGAGGAACACAATCTCACAACTCAAAAATAGTGTAAATAAGATTAGTTAGAGAATTAAATAGTACTTAGTGAGGGATAAAATATTTATCAGGGGTCTGAATTAAATATTTATCTCACATAAACAATCACACAAGTATGAAGAGTTTTAATTACTACACCTGAGTGATAGTATGCACATAAGTTAAGACTAAACAAATAAAAAAAAAAAGAAACTTGTTTTTCAAACAATACCTGATTAATCACACTTTTAAGCAGTTGTTATTATAAGACTGTAGCAATCAGTTTATTCTTGCTATAGTAAACCTGCACTATGATATTTTTATAGCCTATTTTAATAAGTACATGAGGTTGTGGTCACACGATACAATGAAATGCCTAACAAGTAATTTTAATAACTTACATGCACAGTATACATCTGTATCACTAAGGACTAGGAGGTTGGGGATTTTTTCACTTGGCTAATTTCAGTTGCAAATTTTCAGTTTTTTCACAACAAAAAAGTAAAGGCATTCTTTACTAAAATCAAGTTTTGTAGAAAGTGTGTATTTTCAAGTAATAGTATTTTAAATAGAAAAATGAGATGATGAAAATCGGATAACATATTTTATATAGGAAATACATGGAGTGAAGTTACCTTTTGTCGGAATATATCCATACACAGACAGACATACACTATGTCAGCAAAATATCCTTCATAAATACCATGATTTCATTACATCAGTTAGTTTTGTGAAATTGTGTTAGAACCAGATATTAATAAACCAATTGGCAACATTAAAAACTATTAAAGTTTGAAAAGATCAGTTATTTAAATCTACTAATAAAAAAAGTTTATTAAGTGATGAGAGTTTCAAATTTACAACTTTCATACTACTATGGTTAGCAAAGCACAACAGGTGTGGGTTATGAAAAACCATAATAATTAGTGTTCTACAGTGTTCTAATAATTAGTGTTCTCAGAACGTTTCGAACTGGCAAAGTAAAATGGAAAGAGAAAATATTATTTCTTCTTGTTTAAAAACAAAAGAAAATTTAATACACAGTTGTTTCTGTTTCTTGTTCATAAAAGTACTATTTCATTCCTTATGAAGTGCTTTATACAGTGGGATACATATGTCCATCAAGAATATTCCAGAAAAAGTTGGGAGTAAGTTAACATGCTGATCACATTATAATGTACTGGGCAAGTTTAACATGGAGTATAGAATTACACTCTCTTTTGCACGAATTCGCTAATACACATTAGATTTTATTTCTCATTTCACAAACCTTCCTTTTTGCAAACTATTTACACCTCAGTAGTATGAGAGCTGAAAACTATTCAACAGAACATACAGCTTATTTTTCAAAGAATTACTAGAATACACTTTACAATAGGTGAAACAATGTACAATAATGTCTTTTAATGGGATATCTTACTTTTTGTTTTAAAACAAAATATATACTGTGCTGATTTCATGTGAATGGCCAGTTTTGGTCTAATGCATGTACATTGTTCTAGCTTCATGGTCAAAGTCACTTTGTGGCACAAAACATGTATGTTGTTCTAGTTTCACAGGCACAGTGACTTTTGAGTATAAAACATCTAGGCTGTTTTAGTTTCACAGGCACAGTGACTTTTGAGTATAAAACATCTAGGCTGTTTTAGTTTCACAGGCACAGTGACTTTTGGGTATAAAACATCTAGGCTGTTTTAGTTTCACAGGCACAGTGACTTTTGGGTATACAACATCTAGGCTGTTTTAGTTTCACAGGCACAGTGACTTTTGGGTATAAAACATCTACGCTGTTTTAGTTTCACAGGCACAGTGACTTTTGGGTGTAAAACACGTATATTCTTCAAATTTCATGGGTACGGTTACTTTCCACAAATTAATCTATTAAACTACTACCAACACCTGTTAATTAAATCACATTTCTGAATTCTATAAAAAACACTTACCTTCATAAAACCACTAAAAGACACACACAGCTTCAGTAATCTAACCACAGTTTGAAGTAGTGTTGGATGTGTCAGCATACAGTCTTTCAGACAGCTATCAATAAAATCACCATGGCAATGAAGAACATCATCCACATTGGTTACCTACATAGATGTTGAAGTTAAAAATGCTACTGAATTAATTATAACAATTCACTTTGTACAAACAAAAATATTTAAATGTATTTATTAAGTTAATCCCTAACTTTTGAAAAGTACATCATTTCCATCTCGAACAATCATCTTGTTTATTGAAACAAGTATAAAAAAATATGCATTTGCTCAGAAGGGAAATACTAACTGATCTCCTTAATGTTTCTGGTAAAGATTAACAAAGTAAACATTTAAATCTGGAGATAATCTTTTTAACTAAAAAGAAAAGGAAAAACATATATGAACTTAAATAAACAAATGGACAAATGTCGAGTTTACAAAGTTGGATATCTTATGTAGAAATACAGATCACCAACTTGTATTGAGAGTTGAGACTTGAAATGACTGAATACTACAGTTCTTAGCTTTGCAATACAAGGCATAATCTCTAATGTGAGCTGATATTTTTCATATTACAGCAGCGTGCCATCCTTAGATAATAATACTGCTTGTTAGTTTCCTGTGCAAGCTTAATAAGAAGACTGTTTTTTTTAAATGAAATACTTAACCAATTTCTTTACACATTAAAAGTGATCTAAAAAATGGATGGTTGTTTTTATCAAATATTACTGAATATTAATGGATACTTGTTGGCATGAATAGCCTATATAACACTAAACAGGCACAGTGATATCTAACAGTTTAATTTTAACACTAAACAGTTTATTACATGACGTACAATTACTGAACTTCTGGCAGACCAACATACCAGTCACTGTTAGTATATAGCTACTAAAGTTGGATTAAAAAAAAGGGCCAATTCCAACAACAATACAGTAGAAACTTTTCACTGCACAGTTAGATAAAAGCAGACTATCATAAACAAAAGTATTTCATTAATTATGAAAGTTTTGTATTAATGTCTTATATCACATGATCAGCAATTATTGTGAAAATGGGAAAAACTATCAAAAGAGAAACCAAACAAGAACAATTAAATATCAGTGTCAGGACCCAGTGTTCCAAAAGAAACAGAGTTTCATTCTCAAAATATCGACAAAAGTTAGATACCACAATCATACCAATAACAGGCTATTTCCTTTTCAGGCAAATTCAAAGTGTCACAATGTATTGCACTATCCTGCAACTATAATACAGATAAAAGAGGTGACCCCAAAGTGTTCATGGAAGAAAATATAATCTTGCAAAAAAAAGGAAAAAATTCAGGAAGTAGACGGTGTGTTTCTGTACCCAATCTATAACACCATGAACAACAAAAATGCTAAATACTATAGTGCACATCTTAAAATGTCTGGAGATCCACAATCACATAAAATTAATGGAAAATTTCAGACACTTGCTTGTTTTGGCACAAAAAAAAACATTAATGCTCATAAAAGTACAAAAATGGTTGATATGAACTTTCTGTTTATATCTGTTAATGAACGATCTAAACAAAATAATATCTAGTTGATTGGATTTACAGAATGTGTTAATTTACTACATAGAATATTTTGTTTCTGTGCTCTGTAATAAATGAAAATTTGAATAATTTTTATCATATATTCCGAAATAAATCCTTTAATTTCATGAGTTATGAGAAGTTTCTTTTTACACATGTTATGGTTATTTCTGTGTTGTTTTGTTGACATAGTTTTTGTATCAAATATTTTTCAATGCTTCCTAGACATTTATCAGTATTGTATAAACTAACAGCATACCTCATGCATCTTGGTGAGAAAGACATGCCAACTGGGCTCAACAACTTCAAACATCATATAATATTCTAGATTCTGTACAAAGTTTAGCATCCTTTGTCGAAGAGCAAAGGCTGAAGCGTAGGAACATGAAGCATTCAGGCTAAACGATTTTGCTACCTTGTTCAATGTCCAAACACTACATTATAAACATATTATTTCCACATTATAATCCATTAACAAATTATGAACAATTCAAAAGTAATTATTTATCATGAGTCTTAGAAATGAAATGAAAACTTAGAATGATAATCTTCAAAAAATATTATTGTACTAATATTTGTGATAATTTTATTGGTCATATCAAAAGTTGTTGCAATTAGATTTTAAGTGTGATTCAAGTTACACTAAATATTTTCAACAAGACAAATAAGAAAAACACTTAGTTCCTTATATAGAGTAATAACATAGGTTCAAGGTTTTAAAAATTTAAGAAGGATCAATACATATAAAAGACAAATGTTTTTAGTTGTAAACAGAAAGGAAAAGTAAATGTAACTTATTTTTGGTGTGGTTATTTTAACATATCATAAGAGTACAACTAAAAGCCGATGTGTGCAACAAAAAGTACATTGTCTAAGCAAAATTGTATATTTTATGGCATTAAAGAAATCTTTAAAGTCCTGATAAGAAAAAACACGTATGACTACACTATTTGACTGGAAGAAGCCGACTCTAAAAGGTAGCACTACTCACCTTCCAAGCAATGTTTCCACATGCTTGCAATAAAACAGGTGGCGAAACAACATCTGATAACAAGCCAGCACCTAAGAGAGAGATAAAAAGTTATCAAGATGCAACATATAAAAATAATCTTAAAGAATTAATAGGTATACCGATAAGGATGAGTACCAGGTAATATTACATTTTAAAGAAAATCATTCAAGCAAAATGTTACAGACCTTACTCTTATGGCCAGTTTATTTATAAAAATTAAATTATTGACAGATAAGCCTGTATTGTCTTAGTTATTCATAATATAATCAAACACACCTTAGGTGTGAAAAAAAAGGTGCAGCCAAAAAAGGACTTAGTGTGAAACTTAAAGGAATGAAATCAAAATTGATGGCCAAACTGGTAGCTACACTTAGAGCATTGATAAGAATTTTAAAGCAAATGTTTATTCATTAGTTAGCCAGGCCACATTTTTTTGTTCAGCTTGGGGAATGATAGTGGGTAAAACAAAATAGATGTTTTAGCTGATGATGCAATTCATGATACACAAAGGCAGTTATCCCGCAATGTCTTGATTTTTACAATACATCATAAAATATGATTTATCAGAAAAGTCAATGGCACTTAAACCACACTATAGCTGTAGGGGTGAATAATCAATTGGCCAATCAGAGGTGCTTGTTCAAGCTAAAGCGGGGAATTAAGAAGCATCTGCAACTTTGATTGGCTCATCTTATTTTCGTGATTACTGTAAATGCTTCCAAAATGGCTGCTTCCAGCGATGTTGAAATTGTGCCTCCACCAGACAAGTTTAAATTGCCAGTTTGGAAAAACTTTGGCTTTTTAGTCACCTATGAAGACAATAATGTAAAACAAACAGATAAAACAGTGCACAGTATGTATGTTATGTCATATGAAATAATGCTACACAGGAAACACAATGAGTATAAACACTCACATTTGCCATCATCATCCTACTATCAATCAGCATGAAACTGTCAGTAAGGCATCAGTCAGGAGCTTTGGGTGTTCTCTCACCATAGATAATAAAACTCTGACAGTTTCTGGACAGTTGAGGTTGTCTGAAGCTTTCAAAATGAACACATCAGTTTGGGCTCAAGCTATAATGAAGTGGATCAGCACATTTATTGCCACTGATCACAGGGCCTGTTCAATTATAGAACAGCCAGAACTTAAGGGTCTTATTAATGAATTGGAACCCAGATACCACATTCCACAGCAGGCAACACTTAAGTGGTAAGGTCCTCCCTGACTTGTATAAGAAGTTGAACTAGAACTTCTAGGTACCTTGAAGACTGCCAGCAGTATTAGTCTTACCACAGATGGATGAACTTCCATAGCAGTGGAAAGCTATATCACTATAACAGCCCATTTCACTACAAATGATTGGCAGATTGCAAACTATGTTCTCCAAACAAGATCACATGAGCCTCACACTGGTGTTAATTTTGGTGACCCATGCAAACTGTAGTTGTGACAGACAACGTATCTAATGTGGACATAGCAGTTAAATATATCAATGGAATACATATTACCTGTTTGGCACATACTATTAATTTAGCAACTCAAACAAATGTCTCATCTTCTGGGCTGAATGAGGAAAGTTGCTAAAGTTTTTCATTGCAGCAGTACTGCAAATGCCATGATGAAGTCAAACAGAAAGTATTTGGTTTGTCACAGCACAAGTTGATAGTTGACGACAGTACAAGACGGAACAACTCATATGATATGTTATCAAGATATCTTGAACAGCAGCCTGCAGTGTTTGCTGTTCACATGAGCCCTGACATAAGAAAAAGTCATAAAGAACTTGAGACTCTCTCAGAGGATGATCTATGTAATTGTGAAGAAGCTGTGGAACTCTTGAAACCATTAAAAAATGCCAATAATGTTATGAGTCAAACCCAACAATTTCACTGATACTACCCTTGCAACATCAACTTTTATTGTCACTAAATGAGTCACAGCTTAATAAGCAAGTGAAAACTGTCATCTCTGCTGATTTGTCCAATAGGTACAAAGATGAAGAAGTGTGAAATCTACTACCTCAAAGTTATGCATTGGATCCACCTTTTAAATGCCTGTCATTTCTGTCAGATGAAGAACGACACCTGATGTACAGCAATTTTTGCCTCAAAGCTGTTGGATTTGCTAATCTTCTTCAGGTAATTTTATAATTCTATGCTATAATTTTTTTTAAATAAAAAAAACATTTCCAATATCATTGTACATGTAAATGTATATTATATTAATAAATATGTATATGAAAAAATTGTTAACAAAACAATTTACATTGAACTTCAATTGTAATTTGTTTCCTTTTGAATGTATGTTGATTGTTGAAACACATTTAAATCGTTCAATATGATTAAATTGGAATAACATTCAATTATGAAGAAATGTAATCAAATGTTTGAAAACTTGGTAAGTGTTGTTCATTTCATATAACTTATTAGTTATCAGGTGAAATCAGAGCCTCCTGATATAACTGAGACTGACAATGTGATAGGGGTTGGAGCCACATCAGCACTGTCAGAAGTTCTGGACCTAGGTGTTACTGCTGTTGTACCAGTTAAGACTGATTCTGACTGGGACAGTGGCAGTGAAGATGAACATCCTCTGGGGACAAAAAGTGCAATGGAGGACATATTTGGTGATATGTTTCTGTCACATGTTGAGCCAGCTAAATCTATAACTGAACTTTGTGATCAGGTGACTAATAATAATTCAGCTTTACAGCAGTGTAAAGAAAACAATGTAAAGTATCAACTGTTATCTAAAGTTGCTTCAGCATCTCTCTCAATTTTTGCAATAACTGTGCCCAGTAAGAGGGTGTTCTCCACAACTGGTGACATTTTTACAGCCCAATGACCTACTCTCAACTCAAATAATCTTGATATACTCATTTTTCTAAAGAAAAATGAGTTTAAGTAAAAGTGTTGCCTTGTCATGTATTTTGTACACAAGTGTCATGTATTTGTTTGTTAATAAAAACCAAAGGTGTTATTTTGAGCATGCTAAAAAAAAGTCACTTATCACCCCACATACACAAATAAGTAATTTAATGCTAATGTGTATCATGATATATATCGTATCATGGCATAGGTGTATTGTTACACCTCTACTGATGGGAGGATTACTGATCCACTGGAAACAGAGTAGAGCACAGGTTCCCAGACTTTCTAAGCACAAGTCTCTCCAAAACATTCTGCATCCTGATTGAGGCCCTCACACACATGGGGAATCTACAGATACTGAGTACCTTAACAGTATTGTATATTTTGATGCCTCCCTGTGGCCCCCATGGGTATGAAGCTTCCAATTTTTGAATTCCTAAAGCAGAGCAATAAAAACGAAATTAAAGGAAAACAGATGCAAAAAGGTTAACAAAAGATTAAGATATGTAATTTGGAACTTACTGATCAATACTGCAATCAGTGCAGAGGAAATAAAGGTATTATTCATTTTTTATTTTTCCTCTTTTTATTTCTCTGGACACAAAAATTGTTTCTACAGTTAGTATTAGATTAGAGAAAATAAGAGTTAAGATATAAAGTTTTACCACAAGACATTTGATATTCACTTGGGACGTTCTAACAGTTATGAAAATAAAATATGAAAATTATAAAATGAAAATATGTATTTTATTCTTGGCATAGCTCAGTAAAGGCTTTGAAATTTCAGAGATAAATCCTTAGTGCAAATAATTTATTAAAAAATCTGACTTTTTGGGTAAAGCAAACTTAAAAGTTACTAACAGCTTGCCAAATTTTTTGAAGACACACTTAGTAAACTTTCATTGATAATACCACAGCTTCAAAGATCTAGGGTTGATCAGTGTGATCAAGCCCAGTGAACAGATGATTGATGAATTAAAATTTAGGATAAAAAATAAAATCTATCCAGAGGTTAAAATTAAACATGAACTCTATAGTCAAAAACTTACAAACAATAGTGAACTTTGATTTAATATTTTAAACATTATGTACACTATGATTGTGACTCTTTAAAGTTATGCCTTTTTTTAACTCTACAAGGAACTGTGCAGGAATAATCTTAGGATAATTTCAATTTATAAACTGCCACTATACACTCTTTATGGCTAAACTCACAATCACTTAGTCTAGATCTATCTTTCAAACTAAATTTTCAATGAGTATTTATACCCCAACAGAGGTTTAGAACATTCCACTCACTACTAGATATTATGATGCAATAATATTCAATTAAAACAATGAGGAAAAATCAGAAGATTCTAGCAACATGACACAATAAAATAACGATCATCAATTCATAACTACTGAACTACACAATATACGATTCATAAACTGTTATGTAAACAAACCTGCGATAAACTACCACTTCTAAAAATATCTAAGTTTAACACTCCTGCTTTGTAAACTATTTAAATCATAAAACTCACATTTAAACTTAAATTGAAAGAGTTGTGTACATCTAACACTCCAACCTTTAGAGCATTTTTCAGGCAAAGTCTGTTCTAGATGCTTTAGATTTTTATTTGCCTTTCACATTATATCTATCTTGGATGCTTTTCAAACTACAACTTTTCTGTAAACAATGGTTTTTCAACCATATTCCTGGCTAGCCTTATGATTACTTTTCATACAATGCCTGATCTGTTGAGTTTTATACAAGAATTTGATCACTATCAAAACAAAACTGATCAAGTGGTAAGTACAAATACTAAATCCTTCTTAAAGAACCTAAACATCTTAACAAAGAAATGTGTAACATATTAGTGCAGCTAAAGTTAGTTATAACTGATATGAAGTAGGAGTCCTAATAGTAACCAATCAATGTATGCACAAATGTATATATGTATGTATGTATGTACACAAACATATATAAGTATGAAGAAAATAATGAAGAAGCACTCTTTCACACATGAAACAAACCTTTCTGTTGATAACTAAAGAAAGAGGCCACTGGACTTCATAATCAAATGCAACAGCTTCTAGACCAGTTATGGGCATTTCTGGAAGTTCTGAGTAGTCTAAAGAAAAAGAGATTATTTATAAGGACATAGAATTATTCAATAAAACCATTCTTAAAATAATATAGACACATTTTTGTTTTACACATACTTCTTTTGGTAAATAAATGTACAGTTGCTGATTCTGTATAGAAGCTTTAAATCTGATTATACAAACCTTTAAAAGGCTACTTCCAAAACATGTTTTATTCTACTTTGTACAACCTTTGTTATCAAGTCTCAATGATACACTATAAAAGTAGGACAAAGGAATTACAAAATAGATTATGAAATTATTAGTTTAAAATTTGGCAAAATAAAGATACAATGTAAACATGTATGTTTAAAGCAATGCACAAAATCAAATCAGCTGATTTGGATTTACAAATATTTCAGCTATTCTCAGATATATTGTAATATCAAGAGATAATTATATTAAATTTTACAACTTACATTTTTTTCACAAATATTCACAGTATTTTTACCAATAACAATAAACTGATCCCCACTTCTATTGAGGTTAGTTTTCCTTGAAATTAAGAATCAAAATAGTTATTACTGATGAGGTGCCAAAGACATTTATGTGTAAGACAAACAACAAAGTTTCAAGAAACAAGGATCTGACAGAAAGAACATTACATAATATTTAGAATGAGGATAAACAAGAGCACTATGAACAGTAATTTCCTCTTCAACTTTACAAATGAATGCTGTAATGATCTCAAATGTAAAACAAATATAACTGATACTATTCTTACTAACAGTTGTCTATATATATCAAATGAGAGTAAATAATAAAACTAGTTAGGTCCACAGTTTTTTGCTTGTTTCAAGTGACTCACTATATCTATTCCAGGAAGTATTCTTGACAGTATTTAAAGATATTGTCAGAGCAAAACCTCCAAAAATCTTTCACTTGTCAGTTAAATATAAAAGTGAAAGAACCTAACACAACAAAGCACTAACAGAAGATAAAAATGACATTTTACCCAACATAGACCATGATAGTAGTGGCTGAGGAGACATTTTGAATCGCTTACAGTAGTACGGCAGTGTAATAAAAACACTTTAATCTAAAGGAATTTAGCTTATAAAACAACGCAGTCTAGCCTGCTTATCATTATTAGATGTTCTTTAACCTGCTATTTATTTGTATGTGTATATATACACACACACACACACACACACATATATATATATATATATATACACACACACACACTAAACATCAAAACTAAGTTTACGTAATACTACTGACAATCATTAAAGTTTTAAGTGTGGCAGTTAAATTGTCATTGAGCAATTTTATACCACTTGAAGCAGAATTTTGTTAAATTTTCAATATTAGATATAAGCTAAACAACTAACCTTTCTGATCATTGCTGGTAATCATAAGGATCTTGAACATCTGAGAAAGTAGATCATATGGCAATAACTCTACTCTGAAAAAAAAAAATTATATTCAAACTCAGCACCCACACATGCATTTAAGATAAATAAGAAGTGTTAGCTCTCTGCTAGAGAGTTCTCAAAGCTCAATGATGATTTACTTTCAGGTAAAGAATAGTCTAAGAACAAGTAAAAATGCAAATGGTACCATTCATCAAACCAAAGGGATACCACTAGTAAAAAAGCATGATAGTTATTTTTAATGTAAATATCGTACCTTCATGTAGCAACACTGCAAAAGTGCTCTTACCAAGAGAACCAACGTATAATAATGTTTTTGTAAATCATGTCCTGATTCAATTCTCTCAGTATATATATATGACTGCTGCATACTAATTCTACAGTATCCTACATATCTAAGGTTACTATATCCCTAACATGGCCACAAGTGTAGATGACTGTTTTTAATTGTTGTGCAACTACCATTTTTCTTGACAATACCCTGGAGCTCAAAGCTATTAAAATATCTCGACAAAAATACATTAGGCACATTGCTATAACATACAAGACTTTTTTTCATTGACAATTTAGCTTTACTTATTTAACTTTTGACAAAAAAGTGTACGCCTCTCTATGTTTATATCAATTAATCATATATACTCCTTATGCTCCAACTTTTTGACAGAGGGTTGCACTTTACAATAGTTCTAGGATTTTTTCTGTTTTTGAAATTACATTAATTAACAAACAATCTCTTATTCAATGGCAAAAAATATGACTATTTAGGTAGGTGGTGGAATATCCCATGAGATCTTAAAATCCAGAAACCTAAGAGTGAGGTACATGGCTGTGTGAGGTATGATCCAGGGATCATTTTGCCATGCTGTTTTCTTTAATCCGAGTAGTCATTAAGGTATTTCTATCCTACCATCCGAAAATACTACAGTCATGCTATTTCACCATTATTTTAGTACTCCTCTCAACTGTAATATTCTTGCACTTCACTCAGAAAATATTTTCATATTCACTTTTCCTTACCTGATCTTGAATCATTCACCTCCTTTTGTTCTCATCCTCATTTGAGGGCAAATTATTGGATACATCCATTAAGTTACATTCGTTTACAGCTCCTGTATACAAATGTACTTCTCTTTGTAGGCTTGACAACACCTCCCCTGCTATGGCCTCTCTGACCTCTCTTACGGCAAACTTTTTGAGCAACTGGTGTGCCATAATGATCACACCGACATCTACTATATTTTAAACGCCTCAAACATTTTGCTACTTTACATTTGCAGGTTAGTTTTTAATCCAACCTCGAATCTATCTT